TTCCTTGATAGCAAGAGGAGGTACCACAAGAGCTCATTTAGCAACATCAAATAAGAACTACTCAGGTTTTGTAAAAGTACCTCTGATCTGACACAGTGGGATCTCTTTCAGTTTCAGGAAAAATATGTACTGTAAATTGCATTAACTTAGAAATAGATGGTGGTGAGTGATAAACGAAAACATTGCTAATAGTGTCACAATGCATTAGCAAATCGGCAGTTTGCACAGATTATTTTGTTTGTTGCCCATACCCCACTAGAAAACTTTTTAACACAAAACGTGTGGAAGGAGAAAATCTAAAAGTTGATGGTGTAAGTAATAGTTTCTGTTGATTGCAGAGCTGAAATAGTCTTGGTGCTCTCATTGTGAATTTATTCCTTCATTAAACTGGATGAAAGGGCAAAGGCAAAGATCTCTTTTGAAGCTCATGGGAACATTTGTATTGGTGTTAAAGCAAAAGACACAGGATGTTCACACTCACTCTGCTGCAAAGAAATGGTTACAAGGAGCATGTGTTTTAAAGCAGCATGTAGAATTTGTCATTTCATGCATATTTTTTATCTGTTATTTATATTATTGTGTCATTGGTTTCTCTTTAAAATGAACTTAATTGTTGAGAACAGGTGATTAGTAGTGAAAATGAAAAAGGGTATGTGTCTAAATAAGACAGGTAGCTGTGGAAGTAAAGTAATGATTCCCTCACCTCTAAACTGCAATACTGGATCATACCTTGTGGATAGTTAACTAGATGTTAAGCAGGTTCTGCCTGGTGGCTGGCCTACATAAGATGTTTGCCTTAAACTCTTTTATATAGTTACCATGGTGGGCACCTCCTGTTACTTGCAAAACACTGTGGATGCTGTGACAAAAAGGGGGGAAGCCATAAAGACACATATCAGTCATTCATATGTAACTGATCCTTAAGGTCAAGTTCAGGGTTTTTGTCAATAAGAGAGCTTTTTGATTTGCTCTCTAGACAAATGGGCCATTCAGCCTCTAGATTAGTTGTCTTGCATTTTCTGTTGGCCTTGGATTAACATATTTCTGATTTCTAATATTAGTTCTTCTAGAAAAAAATTTACCAGTGCAAAAATATCATTTCCGTCCCTCCCCATCCACCGCTGGCTTTTTGCCATGCTATCAGAACATTATCTTGTTCAGCTTGGGAATACTTCTTTTCCTGTTGC